GAAGAGTTAGTATTGACATTGTCCGGTAATAAATCACGTTAGTAAGTAAGTAATTTGAGACCGGTTTTTGAGAGGGTCAAATTTGATGTACGTCGTAGTTTGAAGCCTTTCAAAGATTTGGATGGTCGCTTTGATCCTTCTTTAACAGCTCTGACCAAACGCTCTCAAACACTCTACAACGGTACATGTGTTTTTCACATTTTAAGTGCTAGTGTTTGAGACCGATTATGGCCGAGAAGAGGCCTATTGTTGCGTTACACAGCGTTACATCGTATACTTAATTGTGTTGTAAATCTACTTTCCTGAGTAAAAAGGAAATTTACTAATGGCGAGTGTTGTGCGGTAAATGTATTATCTTGATCAATGAATGAAGGACAGATGAATTAGAGCAAAGGAAAAAGTCACTTGACCAATGAATAGCTCTACAATGCACACAGCGACACGCCGGATAAGCCGGAAAGCAAAAGGCAGTCGAGCGTTAATGTCGATAGGCTTGCGCGACTCCTGCCATTCGCTTGCCCTTTTAAATCTTCAGACCTGAAAGCTTGGCTGTTATAAGGATATATTTTAATGACTTTTGTTTGCGATGCGATAATAAAGGTTAGTTTCAAGGAGTTATTACTCCATATGTATGTTCTTGGTCTTCTTGAGGTTTGGCACAGCCGGATGAGATTGTGTTACAAAAGGTAATATTATTATTTGTGCGCGCTATTTTTTCTGTTTTCAGGTATAAAATACAATAACTCAAGAGATACGTTTCTCAAAACCTTATTCCAGGTATTCTTTATTCTTTAAGCATATTTGAAACCATGTACATTTTTTATCAGACGTTGATAAATACATTCGTGGCGAATTTGATCTTAGAAGGCGTAAGGCTTCTCCTTTTGCGAAATCCCGTATTTACGCCATTAGGTATATGACACGGAAAGTAGTTCGTGTCTTAGAAGGTCGTTGTCTCTTTGTAATTTAATTAATGCGTTTGTAAGGGTCGATTCCCCGTTAAATAACTCGTGAATTTTATATTATTCACACAGCCATCGGCTGCGAGTGTAACTGCCGCCAAATGAATAGATTCTTGGGCACGGCTGGTGTCTCGACTCTTTCTGAATCTCTTCGGTTGCTTCCCAACAACGAATTTGTCACAGAGGAATAACAGGAGTCGCGCAGGCCCGCAAACACTTTTTAACTTTCGAAGGAACGGCAACAAACAGTGAATCTCCATTACATTCCACGTTTATTCACGCTATCTCAGCACCACCAGAGATCACTCAACCACAAAAAGATGCCAATATGTCTCGTTTCTTCATGTTAGGACCATGTTGGAACGCAATCAGAGTGCGCGCACAGCCTGGTCCACACCCTAGTACGTAATCATCATGTGACCCTTTCAAGTTGCCCTGATTGGCTCCCTATAGAATTACGCGATATGTAGTTCAACGTCAAGCCATTTTGCCAAGCACTTACTTCCTCCTGTGAAGCCTTTTGAGGATGAATACACCGTCTAAAATTCCCTTCTTTGCGAGCTTCATTCGTCGGTTTTCCATCCTCTTTGGTAAATTAAAGGGACCTTACAAAGATCTTGGAAATCTTGGTAAGACTATTAGTCAGTCTCTTGTATGGTTTACCTAAATCGCAGATCTTAACATTACAACGTATTCAGGATGAAGCGGCGAGGCTTGCTATGAACATCAGCAAGCATTCCTATGTTACGCCAACTCTACGATCTTCACTGGCTGCCAGTAGTTGCTCGTATTCGTTATAAGATATTAATCTTAGCTTTTAAGGCAATTCATGGATTTACGCCACTGTAAATTAGTGATTTAATTAGTGTTTGGCCGAAGTCCTCTTACAACTTAGTATGGGGAGCCGTACCGAACATGTATACAGCGTAGGAAGCCATCCAAGCGCTGGACACTTAGAAACTTTTCAATGACACGGCCGGACACCGTCCTCAAATACTTCCATATTTCTCTTTGAAATATTCTAAAGATAAAATATTTTCCAATAGAAATATGGAAATATACCGGACTGCCGGACGTTTAGCTATTCGAAGACAGTGTGCGGCAGTGTTCGAAGAAAATTTGTTAAGTGTTTAATACGCTTGGATCTCTTCGTACTCTGTGTACAAAGTCGGCGACACAGACAACGTTCGAATTTTTTTCACTCTCTAGAAGCGCTTGAGGATTCTAAATAAAGGTAGAATATTTCCCAGGGAAAATTGGAATATTCAAAGAGAAATATGGAGGTATTTGAGGACCGCCTCCAGACGTGTAATTATTGAATAGTTTCTAAGTGTTAAGCGCCTTGATGGCTTCGTACTCTGTATACCGGGTTGGCGAAAAACGTTAAGTTCGAAATTTTTGGCTGCCAGGAAGCGCTTGACGATTGTTAATAAAGGTAGAACATTTTCGTATGGATTTCGAAGAGAAATATGGAAAAATATCGGACTGCCGGTCGTTCAGTTACTTTAAGACTGTGTTTAGCTGCTGGACGTTTAGTCAATTGTTGGTGCTATTAAAAGATATCAATCGCTAGTGCAAGTATCAATTTCTTATCGATTCTAAAGAAAAATTCATTGCTTGACGAGTGAATTCCACGTTAAATTTGACGCGAAAAACCGATATTGCGCGAATCGCGAAGCGATCGCCTAGCTAACACCACCAAATCATTGTGCGAAACCAAACGTTTTGCATTTTTGTGAGCCACGCCTGGGCACAAACAATGGAAACTCTTTCAAAGTCAGCGGTCTAGATCTAGCGAATGGGAAACAAAATATTTTTAGAATGAAAATCACTCTTATTTCAACCTCTTGAGGAGAAAGTAGCAACCTATCAGGGAGAAAGCAGTGCCTCGCATTTTACAATCTTCAGCAAAAGACTGAAAGGACAAAATACAGAGTTATTTAAGAAAAAGCACTAAATATTGCGTTTTATTACTAGCGATTGATATTTTTGGCATAAATGGCTTCCCATAACTTAGATCTAATGGCACCTTGTTGCTGGAGCTGCCTAAAGAGAAAATGCTTTCTACCCTTGGTGCTAGATCTTTTTGTCCTGCTGCACCATGTTTGTGGAAGAGTTTGCCCACTGAATTGCATGCTTTTCCATTGGCAATTTTCTAAAGCAATCTTAAGACCTACCTTTTTGGTCAGTTTTTTTCTTTAACTTTTTAAGACCAAAAATTTTATTTTATTCAAGTTTTTATGAATATTATTCAATCTGGTTTGTTTTATTTAATTGTAAGTCTCAGTTACATTTTACATGGTATACTTAGATTGTTGTAGAATATTGTAATTGGTGAATCATTCTAAAGTGCTACTGATCATTTCTATGGAAACAGGGCTATAGAAATACTAGAATTATTATTATTTTAAGGAGGCCTTATAGGGTTTTTTGACCAGGTGAGATCTGGATGCAAACATAGTGTGAAATTTAAGAACAAACATGGTGGCTCGATACAATAGCTCCATTGTCATCTGAAAAGGTGTGTTAAAACAGTTTAACACATTACAGTAATTATGTTATGGAATCTAGGGTTTCCAGCAAATTCACCTGTAATATTCATAGGCCTTTTACATCTGAAAAAGAGGTCAAGCAAAAAGAAAACACAGTGGGAAAGATTGCCCAAAGGCAACAGAGTTGAAAGTTTATGCATACTCAGATACAGATCTTGGTAAAGTTCTATTCCATAATGAAATGTTATGTAATAGAGAAAATAGGGATCTTTTGAGCAAGATTTATCACTTTTCTTCGGTGGAATTTCTTAAGATTTGTGCCCTTCCTAGTGTCCATTTATAATAATTCTGAAGACCAAACTTGAGGAGAAAACACAAAATTTCAAATAGCGAGGAAACTGCCTTTGTAACTCCTATTTTTTTGGCTTTTAAATGATCAGCAGGACAAATTTAATAAATTGTGAAAATCTTGAGAGATCTCAATGAAGTAAATTGAAGAAAATCAAGGGCAAAGCCAAATTATCACTGGCAAGCACCTCCCTTTGTGGAACCTTAGTTTAATAAGGAAAATCATTTTGATCATATTTACTACAGCAAACAATTGTCTGAACCCTGTTCATTGCCTTTTGATGGCTTTTAGTGACCTTGAAAAGAAAAAAACATTAAAATTTTTCAGAAAACATTTCACTGGTGCACACACTAACATTGAACAAAAACCCTATAGAGCCTCCTTAAGTTATTTTTAGTTTTACTGGTATTTTTTAGCCTGTGAACTTCAATGGAAATTGAATGAGTTTAGCTATTAGTTGTAAATTATTTTTAGTAGATTTTTACTGAGTTATAGTGTCCTATTTCTACGTGTTTTACATGTCACCTAACTTGAGTGAATCTTAATGAACTAAGATACAGTAGTTGAAACCTCATAATTAGTAAGAACATTGTTTTAATTTCTCGACTGTTGTTATTACCTGATGAACCTATCATTTATCTGAATATTTTCCCTTTATGTTTAAGGATAGTGAGTAAACTTTTATCAGTTTTAATATTTTGCAATGCACTTGTCACTGGTAACCACT